GGGGTCTATGGGAGATAGGAGTTGAAGGAGACTGGATTTTGTTGGCCCAGGACAGGGTCCGGTGGAGGGCTTTGGTTAATTTGGTGATGAACCTTCGGGTTCGGTAAGCCATCTAGTTAGTTAGTTAGTTAGTTGTCTTCAGCACACTTGTCAATTATAATTCTTTAACACTTCCGTAAATGTATAATGAAACAACGTACAGTAACTTTTTAAAAATGTTGGTTTTTAAAATTGCATTGTTATTCAAGTAAGAGCTAATATATTTTAAACAATTAACTTTTGAAGAACGCACAAAACTGTGGGTACTTTGTACGAGGCCTACTTTTTAAAATGAAATATTTCGGTTACCCTGGAGGATACATTTTCAGTGTAGTGTATAATCTTGTGCAGTAAATTCAAATTAGTTGAACACGTAATTGTAATATATAGCAAAACTTAACGTATTATGCTGCAGTATTACAACAAATCTCATGACGTTTTGGGCTCTTAAGAGGCGTGGATTATACGTGTTGGAGTAAAACCCACTTAAAAGAGCGAATTAGGAAGTTTGACCCAAAATTAAACTCAACACACCGAAAGCTACTTAAGTGACCTTTGTGTTTTAAGATAAAATAAGCAGGCTTGAAAAGGGTTACTCCGTACAGGAGTACACGTAGTTTTCAAGTGCGTCTTGTGCACTTTGGCATTCTGAATGCATGAAGAAATCACGATTTTTTAAGAAGGTTCCATAAAATTTCTAGGCTATTTGAGGTAAACAAAAACTTTTGTCCGTCGAGTTAGCACACGAACTCTTCGCAAAGATGAGCAGAATTTTTGTAGTTGCGCTAAGATTACTTTTGGTTATGTCAGGTTAGGACAGGATAAGTAATTGCGGGATTTTATATAATACCACCAAAAATATATATAAGTAAATAAAATAAGAATCATATATTATATATACACGTGCGTTCGTAGTTCGTTCAGAAGACCGAAAATTTTTCACCTGCGAATTGTGATAATTTCAAGAGGCCTACAGGAACTCGTCGTTGGGGGGCGCGGATATCCTGGTTCATGTGGTAACTGAACAAACTTCCGAGGGGAAGGTGTGACGTCTATCGAGAGCTGAGAGCAACTTCGATGGAAAAGTGTTCTAAAGCCACGGTTCGTGCTGTAAAGGACTCCTTTGAGCCTATGATACATTTTTTTTTTTACGAAAGCTCTACATTTTTCAAAGAAATGATTTGATTGTACAATTCCGTGACGGTCTCTGAATTAATGAGAATAAGATGTTCGTGTTTATTTCAAAGCAGACAGAACTTTCGTATTTGTCATTTAAGGAAATGATCGGTGTTTATTGTGGGAATCATAGGAAATACATGATTACAAAACAATAAAGAACTTAATTTATTTATATTTCTTGACTCAAAGTTTAACAGAAGTTATCAGCCTTGTAATACGGCAACAATAATTCCGAACCTTTGATTTATAGTTGATAAATATTTTAAAAAAATTTTCTATCATCTTATATAAAAAAAAACATTAATACGATGTCGTATATTTTGGTTCTAAAATATAAGACAAATTATGCAAGATTTTAAGCTTCTACTAATCGCCTCAGAAGTCTTCATTGCCGGATAATTAATAGGCCTTATTATTATTATTATTCAGTGTTCTGTCTTACGACAGGTCCATTGCTCTGCCCAAAAAGAGCTCTCCAGTTTTCCCTATTCTCAGCTTCTCGTTTTAATTCCTCTAACTTCATCTTCTTTCCTTGTTTAAGGTCGTCGGTTAGCTGTATCAGTCTTTAATAGGCCTGGTAATTATAATTGCAATGATAATGATATTAATAACAGTACTCGTAATTATAACTGCTAATTGTGGTGGAGTATTTAAGTGATTGAAACTTTCTCTGCCTCTCTTCCGAAAGAGGTTGTCACCTTATATGGTCTTCTAACAGCGAAACCTCTCCAGTAATTTTGTTACACCCAAACACGAGTAGACCTATTAAAATTATAAACTGTTCTCGATTAACCCGATAATGTTGTGGTGTTAATTTGCAGGAGTGTCGGGACTTATGGATGGTCAGGGTCCTCTTCTGGTTTTGGAACCGCCTCCTAGATTGGAATTCTCAAACAGCACTGGAAGTAGGTTGGACTGCACCGCACGAGGAAGTCCTATGCCCTCAGTGCATTGGCTGTTAGCAGATGGAACTCCTGCTAACAGCATCTCAGGATTGCGATATCAGCTCCCGAATGGATCGCTTTCCTTCCCGGCATTCAGTGCTGCAGAGTTCAGACCGGATGTCCATCGGGCGGTGTACCGCTGCGTGGCCAGCAACGCCTTGGGACGTGTCCTCAGCAGAGACGTCAGACTTCGAGCAGGTATGTGAGTGAACTTTAAGAAGTTAGCCGATAAGGTACGCTGTAAAACATGTTCACGTTGCTTTATGGGTAGAATATCTGTCTTCATTTCTGAGGTATCCGTATTTTAATTCGGTCTGAGCATTTACCATTCTGACTGATTACTTGAATTCAGTCCACACTTTTAAGTCAAGTCTGGTTTATATTTAATATTACTTATATCTTTCATTGATCAAAATGAATAATTTATTAATCCGTTATATTACGCCACGTTGTAGCATAAATTTTTAATTAATCTTACAAAATTAAGATCTTTTCAGTTGTTCAATACATTTCGTTTAATGGAATCTGTTTTGAAGAATTTTCATAATACTTCTTAATCAAATTATGACGTTAAAATTAAATAACGTCGTTTATCTATCTAGATGTTCACTGATACTAACATATCTCCATATTAAATTCATTTTTGTACTTAGAAACGTTGGATATTAACATTAATTCTATTCCAAAAAAATCTTTTAAAATATTCTGCCTCGGATTCAAGACTAGAATTTGAATACTTAACCTAACACTTTTATGGGAATTTTATTGAAGTCGTTCAGTGTTCGTGCAAGGACAAAGGGCTATGTCCCTGGTGAAAGACTTTCGCCAAGAGCGTATTTTATAAACGCAGCGAGCTTTGAGGTAGCGTCTGTCCGTCGGTCACGCCTTGGGCAACTCAAGGGTTGCGTGTTTCAGCCTCAAACCTTCTCATCCGTGTCCCTGGTTACGCCATTGAGCCGAAATAATTTTTTCAGTATTGGGAATATATTTCTGTATTCACGTGAACCGTGGTCGTCGGGATAATTGGATGTGGGATTTTAGTCGAATTAACCCTCTCTATTGTTAGGTTTGAAACCCGTAAGGGTCTTCGGGGATGGCGGGGGTTGGTGAATAGGCTTTTGATGTGTGTTTTGCCGGAGGCGGACTCGAGCCCAGTACTCGCTATTGTTAACCAAGCGAAGAGAGATGGAGAGGGTGAGTTGTAATGGGTGTGGCAGCTGGGACTGTGGTATGTTTATGGGAGGGGGTGTTAGGATAAGGGGGACGGATGCTATTGAGAGATCTGAGGCCGCTTTCAATCATTGGAATTATAACTACTGATTGTACGTGGTCATTTTATTAGCATACGCGGTTGTACGAGGTGCGATCGGAAAGTTTCCAGACTGCGCGTATAAAAACCCGTACACTTATCTCAGGTATTAAATTCATCCATCACCCTCGAAGCAAGCGTTCTGGACGACCATCTTCGAGCACAAAGCGGCCGTCAAAGTGGCGCAACCACAACTGGCTGCTGCATCATGACAACGCGCCAGCGCACACCGCCCTCAAAGTTCGGCAGTTTTTGGCCTCAAACACTATGGCCGTCATCCCGCACCCTCCTTATTCGTCGGATTTAGCTCCGTGTGACTTCTTCCTCTTCTCAAAGATGAAAATTCAGCTAAAGGGAAGGAGATTTGAGGCGATAGAAGAGATTCAGGCAGAATCGCAGATGGTGCTTGACAGGCTGACAAAGAAAGATTTCCAGGGATGCTTCCAGGCTTGGCAGCGGCGCTGGGATCGTTGTGTTCACTCCCAGGGGAACTACTTCGAGGGTGATGGATGAATTTAATACCTGAGATAAGTGTACGGGTTTTTATACGCGCAGTCTTGAAACTTTCCGATCGCACCTCGTATTGTGCCTATGAGGTTTATTTTAAGATGTTTCCTGTACAATCCAGGTTCATTACCGCTTAAATAACCTGCACTGTCATAATTGACTGTGATGAGTAAAATTGATATCAGTGATTGAATGACGCACGTGAAGGACCCATCTGTTGACGAAAATATTCCAACGCAGACATGAAGGAAGTTTCTGAACTCGAAGCTTCATGAAACGTAGTTCATCGTCACCCACTGAGCACGTTGGGTCAGTAGGGTTTAGGTGTAAACGTGATTAAGTTACTAGAAGCTATCGGAGGTCTGAAATTATTCTGTTATATCAGCAGCCAGATGATAATGGACCTTCGCTTGAAACAGTTAAATGCGAAATACTGAAGAAATTATTATTATTTATTATTAATTGCAAATGGGTTTTTACCCGGTGGCAAGTAACCGAAATATTTAGTTGGTTAATTGTTTTTGTTTGAGACCACCATTAAGTATCATTGCTCAGAATTAATTTGGAAATAGTGACGCGTTCAATTTTGGCTTAAGCTCGCAGTACTAATATAATAAACTCAGCAATAATTCCGAGTTGTAATCACGTGGCAGGAAGGGAGTTTATGATCCGTGATTATGGGTTTTCAGAGCGTTGAACGGCAGTTGGTAAATTTCAGTTTAGAACGGGCAATGTGTGGATTTCTCTCGTGAATGCGTCGTCTAAGGAAGGAACTGATTTCGACCCAGCTGTGTTCCGGGCTCTATTACCTTGCTGACACATGTCACAAGTCAGCAATATTGAACCCTGAGGCAACAGTCACGTACCTGTGAAAGATGGCTGCCATTGCCGTCTAAAGTCGAGGAGTGTAGTTGGCAGCGTTCTGATGGAATGCGAAGTCTCTTGTCAAGTTATGAAAACAGCGAGGTATAATTACTGACACGTCAGTAAAACCCTGATCTGTCTTTGCCTTATGTCTATTATTATTATTAAGTGTTCTGTCTTACGACAGGTCCATTGCTCTGCCCAAAAAGAGCTCTCCAGTTGTCCCTATTCTCAGCTTCTCGTCTTAATTCCTGGAACGTCATCTTCTTTCCTTGTTTAAGGTCGTCGGT